CCGCACCTAGACATAGCTGCATACATAAGACCGAAAGAGTACATTTCAAACCACGGTTTCGGTATCAAATTTGCCTTAAAGATTAAAGCCTTGACTCACCTGGGCCCTGGTATCTGGAGGTTGCATGCAGCGGCGATAGGGAGGCCTGGGATCCGGAAAGCTATTGAGGACGCCCTAGCAAAAGCAGCTGAAGAAGGGGAAGGGAATTTTGAGCTACTACTGGGGAGACTCAACGCAGGGCTGCGCTCATATATGAAGGAGGAAAGCAAGCGGGTTAAGAGAACCACGGCTCATCTTGCAGAACTGGTGGCGGAGCTCCACCAAGAGCAGATGCGAAATCCCGGGTGTCAGAAGGCAAGGGATCTGCTGCTTGCCAGGGAAACACAGCTGAGGGAATAACACGCGTCAAAAAGAGACAGGCTTCATGTGATGACGGGAACAAACACGGAGCTGGCAGGGGAGGTCCCCTCTCCTTTCCTCTCGGCACGGGTTAAATTCAGGAAGCAAAAAACCCAGATCACGGAGCTGGTCGTCGGAGGCTCCACGATCTCTGACTCACCCGGAATTTTGGTAACGATGGCCGGGCGTTGTCGGAGAGGTGGAAACCGCTCTCTGGGAGGAAGCTGGATGTGGAGGCAGCGGCTGGGCTGGCAGCAGAATAGACGGAGGCAGAAGTGAAACAGGCTTTCAAAGCGCTCGCGGATGGCAAGTCTCATGGGAAAGACGTGCTTCCGAAAGAACTTTTTGAACGGAACTGGGACATTCTGGGTGCGGAAATCCTTCGTATGGCGCAGTCCTGTGCTAGCATGGCGACAATCCCTGCAAGCATCAAGGAGGCTGTTACCATTCTGCTTCATAAAAAAGGAGAGAAGGACAATATGGACAACTATCGTCCGATCACACCCCTCAATTTCACATACAAAGTGTTGGCGCGGGTGGTGGCAAACCGGATGAGACCGCAACTGCACAAGGTGATCTCGGCGGAACAGTACGGTTTCATTCTTGGCAGGAGAATCTTGGACGCCATCGGTGTAGTAGCCGACGTTATCGAGGCGGCGAAGAAGGGGAACGAGGACTGGTATATGTTGCTAGTGGACTTCCGTAAGGCGTTTGACTCGGTGTCAAGGAGTTTTCTTTTCTCGGTCCTCAGGGAGATGGGCTTCCCGGAGAGATTTGTCGGATGGGTGGAAGGCCTGCACAAAGTGTCAGAATAATGAACGAGAATGAAATGAACTAGCAGCAGGATGGGTACAAGTAGGAAACCCTAATTGGGTTGAAACCCTTATGGGCTACCCCACTACAGCCTAAACAATAAGCAGCACATATAAGTTTGACACACCCCCATAGGCAAAGTGGGGGAGGACAAGAGGTCACAAGACCGGTCAAGAAAAGCAAAGCAAGCTCAGGGTGGATCACGACATCACCACGCATTCTGAGCACAAGCAAATGGCCACAAGGCCAGTTCACATGCAGAGTTATATAAGGGAGAACAAGCAGTACAGTGATCACAACCTAGCAAGTGTAAGCATGCAGGTATAAGTATATAGATCACAGTACAAGCAAAGTCAAGAAGTGAGCAAGTGAGACCAAGTAGGCACAAGGCCTAGAACAGTACAGAAACGCTGATGATCACCAGACCCAAGGGCCTTGGTGAAGATATCAGCAGTGTTGGCCCGAGAGGCCACGTAAGCAAGACGAAGCTGGCCACGCTGCTGCAACTCTCGAGCAAGGAAGTAGCGCAGAGCGATGTGCTTCGTTCTGTGCTCCAGCCAGTGCTCCTGACACAAGGCAATCATGGCCTTGTTGTCGACGTACAAAACTGGAGGAGAACGAGGCGGCTCTCCAAGGTCGGTCAGCAGGTAGGTGAGCCAGCGAAGCTCCTGTGCAGCCATGGCCCCTGCGTAGATCTCAGCCTCACAACTGGAGCTGAGAACAGAAGACGAGCGGGTAGACCGCCACGAAACAGAGCCGGAGCCAAGGCTGAAAGTGTAACCATGTGACGACCGCTGCGTAGCCGGGTCGTCAACCCAAGAAGCGTCTGCGCGACCAGTGAGGACAACTCGAGCTCGTCCTCCAAGCACAAGCCCCATGCCCGACGTACTGCACAAGTAGCGCAACACCCTCTTAGCGGCCTCCTAGTGCTCTGGTCGGTGTCTCCCGGGCGCAACGTAGCGTGCCAGGATGCTAAGAGGGTAGACTAGGTCAGGTCGAGTGCAGGTCATCAGGTACATGAGGCAGCCCACAAGCTCTGGATACGGGCCACTCGGCTCTACGGACTCATCCGCAGGCAGAGCTGAGAGCGAGTGACCGGTAGGCAGAGGAGTGGACTGTGGCGAGGAGAACGTGAAGCCGAAGCGCTGAAGGACCTGCTGCACCACGTGTGACCGAGTCAAGGTAATGGTGCGCTGTGCTCTATCCCGGGTGATCTGCAAGCCAAGATAGCTGCGCAGCTCACCCAGGTCTGTGCACGTGTGTCTCTTCTGCAGCTCGAACTTCACAAAGGCCAGTCCAGCAGTGTCAGCAGTGGCAAAGACCAAGTCATCGACGTACACGAGGATGTAGAACGGCGGCAGCGAAGTGTCGGTGCGTAGAAACAGCGACGGGTCAGCAGTAGAAGGAGCAAACCCAAGAGCCGCAAGAGTCGTCCTCAGTGTGTCGTACCACTCGCGAGGCGCCTGGCGGAGACCGTAGACTGGCCGCCGGAGGCTCCACCGGGTACCTGCAGGAAACGACCCTGTGAAGCCAGGTGGGCGGCACAGCCAGATCTCCTCGTGCAGGCTGCCCTGTAGGAAGGCTGTGCTGAAGTCAAGAGAGTGAAGCTCATAGTCACGCTGAGCGGCGACGTGCAGCAGCACCCGAAGAGTGGTCATCTTCGGGGTAGGGGAGAAGGTCTGGAAGAAGTCAACTCCCTGTCGCTGACTGAAGCCTCGTGCAATGTAACGCGCCTTGAAGACAGGCGGAGAACCCGGCGGCCGCTTCACCCTGAAAATCCACATGACACTGACAATGTTCGCCCCAGGTGGGGGAACCTCGTCGACGTAGGTGCCTGTGGACTTCCAGGAAGCCATCTCTGTGTCCATGGCTGTCTGCCACTGAGAGGAGTAGGGACCCTCGATCGCCTCTGCGTAAGAGCGCGGGGTCGGGATGTCTGGTGCATCCGGGTCTCCCCCATGTGCAATCAGCATGGACACGAGATGAGGTACAGCAGCTGCAAAACACTCAAAGTCCTCCTGCTTGTCCTCAAGGACGTGCGTGCCAAGAGCACACTCACCCCCGACGGACGGAGGACAGACAGACTCGAACTCAGCAACAAGACTAGCGGCGTAGTCGAGGCGACAGGCGGCAGCAAAGTCAACAAGCTCAGCAACTAGGGCAGACACAGCAGAGGACTCAAACGAAGGGTCAGTGACAACAGTGGCTAGAAGACGTGTGACAGTAGGACTGGCAGCACGAGCAAGGTCTGACGGCGGGTCAGCAACGTCAGGAAGAGAGGACGCAGGAGGAGACGGCAGATGGACACGCTGTGGAACAGAGGAAGGACGGAGTGCCATCTGGTGCGTGCAGGGGACAGGAGGAGGACGCGGACGCGGAACACGACGACCAGTGCGTACAGCGCGAACAGGCGACGCAGGACGAGACTCAGGCTCACGACGCTCTGCAAGACCTCCTGTCGGCCCAGTGTAAGGAGAAGGAGCAGGCAGTGGGGAGGCTGGCTGTAGCTGCGACTGCGACTGGTCAGGCAGTGGACATAGAAAGGGAGGAGGAAGCCCAGTAGAAGGCGGGAGACCAAGAACCTGCTGAAGGAGTGGAACGAAGTACGGTCGCGGCCGCACAGTGCCTCCATAACCACCACCGACAGCACCAGCACCCCTAGGGCCAGCACCTCCAGGGTCTCCAGCTCCAACTCCAGCAGCACCACCAGCTCCAGCTCCAGTGCCTCCAGCTCCAACGCTTGCAGCACCTCCAGCTCCAGTAGCTCCAGTACCTCCAGCAGCTCCAGCTCCAATGCCTCCGGCTCCAACGCCTGCAGTACCTCCAGCTCCAGCAGCTCCAGCTCCAGCTCCTCCAGCTCCAACGCCTGCAGCACCTCCAGCTCCAGCAGCTCCAGTACCTCCAGTACGAGCACCTCCGGGACCAGCAGCACCAGTACCTCCAGCAGCTGCAGCTCCAGCTCCTCCAGCGCCAACGCCTGCAGCACCTCCAGCTCCAGCAGCTCCAGTACCTCCAGTACGAGCACCTCCGGGACCAGCGGCTCCAGCACCTCTTGCAGCTCCAGCTCCAGTGCCTCCAGCAGCTCCAGATCCTGCAGCTCCAGCACCTGCAGCTCCACCAGGTCCAGCAGCTCCAGTACCTCCAGTACGAGCACCTCCGGGACCAGCGGCTCCAGTACCTCTAGCACCTCCAGGACCAGCAGGTCCAAGGCCTACAGCTCCAGGACCTCCAGCGGAAGGCCCCCCAGCTCCAGCAGCGCCACTCTGAAGACTCCAACGCCGAGCAAAACACTCGCGCAGCTGCGGTGGAGAGAGAGGCTCCCGCCGGGATGAGGCACCCGGAGAACCTCCAGTACCTCCAGCACCTCCAGGACCAGCAGCTCCAGCACCTCCGGTACCTCCAGCTCCAGCGCCTCCAGCTCCAGGGTCTCCAGCGGCAGTCCCCCCAGCTCTAGCAGCGTCACTCCGAAGGCTCCAGCGCCGAGCAAACCAGTCGCGCAGCTGTGGTGGAGAGAGAGTCTCCTGCCGTGACGAGGCACCCAGAGAACCTCCAGTAGACAAAGTACCTCCAGGCGCAGCACGCTCAGGCTCAGCACCCCCAAGCTCAGCACCCCCAGGCTCCGCACGCTCAGGCTCAGCACCCCCAGGCTCTGCACCCTCAGACTCAGCAACCCCAAGCTCAGCACCCCCAGGCTCCGCACGTTCAGGCTCAGCACCCCCCGGCTCCACACGCTCAGGCTCAGCACCCCCAGTCGCAGCACCCCTAGCAGCACCAGAGTCGACAGCTTCCTAGACAGGCTCGACAGGGTCTACCTGAGACACACCTGAGGGAGCAGGACCTTCAGGGGGGAGGGGGTCTACCGGAGGAGGACCTGGTGTGAGGAAGAGCGGCGGGGGGGGGAGAGGGGCAGTGCGGTAGGGGAAGAGCCGGTAAAAGGGAACCGACTCGTCGAACGTGACGTCCTGAGAGGGCAGGACACGGCGCGAGGTGGGGTGGTAAAACTGCCAGCCAGGCGCGTCAGGGGGAAAACCAAGGAAGACGCAGGGAATGGCGCGGGCGGAGAGCTTGCCCGCGGACGTATCGCGGACAAAGGCACGAGAGCCCCAGACTTGGAACACCGACGCATCGCCAACCTTCCCCGTCCAACGCAGTGTAGGCGAGGTCTCCGGCAAGGAGACACGGGGCCAGAGGTTGAGCTGATGCGCAGCGTACCGGACCGCAAACGGCCACAGAAAATGGGGGGCAGCCGCATGGATCATGGAGGTACGAGCGACCTCCATGACTAAGCCAATGCGGCGCTCAGCAACCCCATTCTTCTGCGGAGAGGCCGGAAGCGTGAACGACTGGAGAATGCCCTCCCCACGACAAAAGTCCCGCAAGAGGTCGGAGGAAAACTCACCACCTCTGTCAGAGTGCAGACGCAGGACTGGAAGGTCCGTGTGGAACCGCTCGCGGAGCTGGAGACGGACAGCGCCGATCCAAGGGATCAAAACATCAGGGACCTCCCCCTTGCTGCGCAAGGGGAAGACCGTGGTGTAACGCGAGTAGTCGTCAACGACCAGCAGAAAGTAGCGCTCGCGGCCCTGTCCACGGACGCGGGCTGGGCCCCACACGTCCATGTGGAGAGTCTGCAGGGGAGCAATCGTCGGGGGAAACGAGGAGGAGTGAGGAGCGGCGCGCTGCCGCCCCTCGACACAGGGAAGGCAGGGAGGGGCAGGCGAGGGTGGGAGAGGAGGCAGAGTCCTGGGAAGACCAGAGACTAGGACACGGGAGTGCATGCCACGGAGGCGCTGCACTGAGGGGTGACCAAGACGGTGGTGCCAAAGGAGGGTCTGGTGCGACAGAGCGCGACACGAGCAGGGGGCCGCTAGCTGACCTGACGCAGACGCAGACGCAGCTACATGAGGAGACACAGTAGTCAGTGTGTACAGACTCGAGCCAGGCGCACGGGTGAACGTGGCCAGGTGCCGGCCAGTCCGGGAGCACGTACAGATCGCCACACGCTGTCCTCCTGGAGTAAAGGTGTCAACCCATGCATCCTGAAGGACGGCGTTGCTCACCAAGTTCGTAGAGAACGAGGGGAGGTGAAGACCTGACAGTGAGCCAGACGGAACCGCCGGACACGGGAGAACAGTGGAGGAACGTGCAAGGACTGGGCCCCCAGAGGGGTCAGCCAGAGAGACAGCAACAAGTGCAGGGAGCGGTGTGAGTGCTGTACTGTCGCAAAAGAAACAGCGGGAAGCACCTGAGTCAAGCGTAAAGGTGTGCAAGGCCTCAGCAAGCGCAGTACCAGAGAGAGCAGACTCACCCGCACCTAGAGCAGCAGACTCACTAGCACCTAGAGCAGCAGACTCACTAGCACCTAGAGCAGCAGCCTCTATGCCTGGGTCGGGCGGCACACACAGGTAACAGTCACCCTCAGCACTAACAGGCAATGCATACATGGCAGTGAGGATAGCATCATAGTCAAGAGCAAAGATATCCACCCTCTGCCTAAGCAGCTCCACCAAGCTGGGGAGCTCAGCCGCGTCACCAAACTCTATACGCCAGGCGTCGCTCAGACCGGTGAAGCAGCGGGACTGTGCGTGATCAATTGTCCCGCAAGTCTGACCAGCCCGATCACCTGTGCGAATGACGTACGGGCAGCGAGCAGTACTCCGAGACCCTCTATACTGAGCGTACCACTCACGAAGCTGCTGGGGCGTAAGGGTCTCGCGCGGACGCCGCTGCTGCATCTGGCCACCGCCAGAAACTCCCGACCGACCAGCTCCAGGGCGACTGCCACTACGGCCGCCGCCACAACCCCAACTAGCGTACCACTCACGAAGCTGCTGGGGCATGAGGGACTCGCGCGGACGTCGCTGGAGCTGTATCTGGCCACCGCCAGAAACTCCCCACCGAGCAGCTCCACCTAGACTGCCACTACGGCCGCCGCCACCACTCCCACTGCTGCCACCACCGCCGCCACCACTCCCACCGCTACCACGAAGAGACGTCATAGCGGGCAAGCAAGGAGGCGCGCGACCAGTAGGGCAGCACGGAGGGAAGGCAGGGCGGCGAGCAGGCACTAGGGTAGGTCGGGGCAGCGCACGGTCAGGGAAGAGCGGCGCGCGGCCAGAGTAGGGCGGCGCGCTGCAGCAGGGCGGCGCGCTGGCTGCAAAGGGCAGCACCTAGGGCTCCTTTTTTTTTTTAGGGTTTAGCAGGGCGCGTTGGGCGCTGGGCAGCAGGGCGCGCTGGCACGCTGGGCAGCGGGGCGCGCTGGCGCGCTGGGCAGTGGGGCGCGCTGGCGCACTGGGCAGCGGGGCGCGCTGGCGCGCTAGGCAGCGAGGCGCGCTGGCGCGCTAGGCAGCGGGGCGCGCTGGCGCGCTGGGCAACGGGGCGCGCTGGCGCGCTGGGCAGCGGGACGCGCTGGCGCACTGGGCAGCGGGGCGCGCTGGGCTGCAGGGGCGGCGCGCGGGCTGCAGGGGCGGCGCGCGGGCTGCAGGGGCGGCGCAACGGGGGGCAGGGCAGGGCGTGCGAGGGGCAGCGCGACGCGGGGCAGGGCAGGGCGTGCGCGGGGCAGCGCGACGCGGAGCAGGGCAGGGCGTGCGCGGGGCAGCGCGACGCGGGGCAGGGCAGGGCGTGCGCGGGCAGCGCGACGCAGGGCAGGGCGTGCGCGAGGCGGCGCAACGCAGGGCAGGGCAGAGCGCGCGCTAGGCAGCGCAACGCAGGGCAGGGCAAGTCAGCGCGGCAGCCAGCAGGGCGGCGCGCGGGCACAGTAACGCGATAGGTGGGGCAGCGCGACGGACACGGTAGGGCGCTACGGGCAGGGTAACGCGCTACGGGCAGGAAACGATTCGGTGGGCCCTAAAAAAACGGTCCTAGGTCAGGACCTGCTCTGAAACCATGTTAGAATCAGTAAGCGAGAATGGATGAACTAGCAGCAAGATGTGTATAAGTAGCAAACCCTAAACGGGTTGTACCCCATATGGGCTACCCCACTATAGCCTACACAATAAGTAGCATATAAGTTTGACATAACCATTCAGTCCAGATGGTCAACAGTCGCGATAGTTGACCTTTGCGACTGTTGACCTTCCTGCCCTCTATAGGCTGATCCGATACTGCTGCTGTAGTTGCTTCGGTAGTAGCGGGTGCAATACAGCTGCAGAACCCTCTGTACAGATACAAGCACTTCACATTCAGCGTGCGGCCCGACGTTTTCTGCCCACCCTGTATGAAGATACGGCTTGCGCTTGTTCCACACTTCCCTTCGGACTTCATTGTTGCCTGGCTCACCCGCAAATACTTAAACACCTACCTAACTCTACGCCTCCCAGAGCCCTCGCCGAACTTCAAAGCTTGCTTGACACCACAGCAAGTTTACTCCCCGTGGCTCGAACCATGCGTTTTGATGGCAGAACCTGTCGTTTTCAACCGTTTTCTTCACAAACGTGATAAAAGGCCATTCGGCGGTATTAAAGAGGAACGGTTCCTGCTCGATAAACAAGTTGGTATAGGTAAACTGCTTATCCCAACCACATGAGGTCCACGCCAAATGACAGCGGCGGAATTTTGCGCTCAATTGCCCCCTAAGGAGTACCCTAGTGGGCTGCGAATCCTCCAAACCATCTACAAAGCCGTCCCGAAATGGTGGGCAGTGCTAACGAAAATTTCCCCTCGACCTGGGTATCTTAAAATGGACGATTGAGCCTCTGAGGCCAACCCACGTTCATCATCTCAGGTACCCACGTCCTTGACGACAAAACGGCCATTTTCGACTACTACGAGGCGACACAGGGGATACAGGTTGCCAAGACCCCTTCAGGGAACTGCTCCTTTGCAGTCGCATAAGTCATTACGGTATGCGTGATAGGGAACTGGCTGGCATGACCTTTTAGTTCGGGAGCTGCACTTGGCGTACGACACGAACTATTACGACAACGACTGTCGCTAGCAGGGATAAGACCGAGCCTCTACAACCAACAGCCGCTAAACTACATCCCACGATGGAATGACGACCTGCAAACACCACTTTCTTCACTCCCAACCTACTACACCCATTTCTCAAAGATTAGACAAGTCGTCACAAGGACATTCTCTATCAATTGATACACCCGGTCCCTCCCCTGTGGGGCACGACTCCCTTTTACACGTGCCCAAGGAATCTGCCCTCGATGCCTCTCCAATTCCATCGAAACTCATCTTTACATCTTCCTTGAGTGCGGCAACGCTCCATGCGTAGTTACTGCGCTGCAACGGACAGCTAGCAAGCACCTACATCTCAATCTTCCAAGCGACGCGATATTTTTTTCCCCCTTCTTCGCCATCTGGACAAATTGCCCCGTGGGGCCTTCTCGTAGGAGCAGCAGCGACTACACTATGGCGGGACCGATACTCTCAAAACTACGAAAATGCCTCCTACTCGCTACTAGGTACGCTTCACAAACTCCTAGCCCTCTTCCTTTCGGCTTGCAAGATCTACTTTTACTGCCAAAGCAAAATGTATGATAAACGTAAATGCACCACGGCCAACCGAGTTAAAGCTGCCCACATCCACAAATTCCCGCAGTTCCATTCCAACGGTTCCCCCAAGCTTCACCCGATCTTTCGCTCAACTTGGCTCCTCAACGCGTTCCAACCACCGTAGACTGTACGCACCACTTGCCACACCGACACGGAGTGGGCATGACCTCTTCTACCTATAGACTTAGTTCGGCTAAAGAAACGTTGTTTTGTAGTAGGCCATTGGCAATGGTTCATCACCTTGTTTAGCCTCTTTGTTGTATGGGTTATGACCTTAATAAAAGCTTAGAACATAGAACTTAAAACTGACGCATTTACATTTTTTTTTCCTCTTTCCATCTATGATATGATGCGCGAAAGTGAAAAGGCCTGCAAATTACACAGTATGCACCATAAAGGGGGGTCTTATAATTGCTGATATCAAAAGGTTATATTAAGGTCCGGATAGTAGCGCTGTCCGATTAAACGCACCGGATAGTAGCGCCGTCCGATTAAACGCGCCGGCGCTTCTATCTGGAGACATGCGCTTATGGCAGAACCTCAATTATAAGCGCACCCCTTAGAATCCCTGTACTTATTATAAGCGCAACGGGATTTATACATATAAGCACATCCCTGTACTTATTATCTTTCATTGATTTTAATTTAAACATGGTTACAATGATTGTACCGTAACAATTTGAAACTATACATGCTACTTGTCCATGTACCAAGTGGCTACAGATTTCATAGTTTATCATTTCTAGCTACCGTACAATCTACTCGTCGTCAGATTCTGGCTCCTCGCAGTTATTGCCAGAGAACCCATTGGCGATGATCTCATCATCGACGTCCACCTCGTGGGTCAGCTGGCTCCGCCTGTGCGCCATGGCGAGCCCATCCTCACTGACGTCAAGCGAGTTGCTGATGCCACATGTGAGGAAGGCCTTCTTGATGAGCTCGGGTGGCACGGCCTTCCAGGCCCGCGAGATTCATATGAGCACACCACAGGGGGCGGCTTCTTGAGGTTCCCTGCACAACAAGTCAGAGAAGGGGAGAAGCCGTTAAGACAACAAAAAGGGTGGTTAAAAAAACAAAAAACAAAAAACGCACAAACAATCAACGGTGGGTGTCT